CTGGGTACTGCCGTATTGGTTTCCCAGTAGATGTCAGGGTGATTAAGGTCCCTTAAGAGAACTAGGACCTGCGTTCTGGAAGCTTCTCTCAGTTGTCCGAAGAAAGCCTCGTCTACCTCATCCACCTGATTCGGTGGCCTGTAGCAGACACCAACCACAACATCACTGCTGTTGTTTGCTCCTTTAAACTTAACCCATAGACTCTCAACAGGTTTTTCTCCCTCTTTATACTGGAGTTGAGAGCAATCATAATGCTCTCTTACATATAGTGTAACTCCTCCTTTTCTCCCCTACCTGTTCTTCCTGAACAGTCTATACCCTTCCATGACAGCGCTCCAGTCATGCGAGTCATCCCACCAAGTCTCTGTTATCCCAATTATTAAGTCATATTTCTTGGACTGAGCCAGGGCCTCCAGTTCTTCCTGTTTATTGCCCAGGCTTCTCGCATTAGTGTACAAACACCTCAGATAGCCAGTTGATTGCCCTATCTTCTCCATTCGAATCGGGGGTCCTCCTTTGTTGCTTGTTCCTTTTTGCATTTTTTCCCAGTATCCGACTTTCCCACTTCCCTCAGGGTTTTGGTCACCATCCCCCGACGAACCTAGTTTAAAGCCCTCCTCACTAGGTTTGCAAGCTTGCACGCGAAGATGCTCTTTCCTCTCTTGGTTAGGTGGATTCCATCTCTTCCTAACAATCCTTGTGCCCGGAACAGAGTCCCATGGTCGAAGAAACCAAAGCCCTCTCTGCGACACCACCTGCGCAATCATGCATTTACTTCATCAATTCGACGATCCCTTCCCAATCCTTTCCCTTCAACAGGGAGGATGGACGAAAACACCACTTGCACTCTGAATTCTTGGATCCTTCTTCCCAGCGCTACTTAATCCGCAGTAACCCGCTCAAGGTCATTCTTGGCCGTATTGTTAGTTCCCACATGGAGAAGCAGGAAGGGGTAGCGATCCGAAGGTTTGATCAGTTTGGTAAGTCTCTCAGTACCATTCTGAATGTGAGCTCCCGGTAAGCAGCACACCTCTTGAGATTCCAGGTCTGGATGGCAGATGGATGGCTCAGTCCTCTTAGGAGGGAGTCCCCGACCACCACCACCAGTCGTTTTCTTTTGGGGTGGTGCCCGTGGAACCCCCATCCCTAGGACTATGCATCCCATGCCTTCCAGTAGATGGTGTTTCCTTCTGGTTTCTTCCTTGTGAAGTCCCTTCCAAAGCATTCAGCACTGCAGAGCCTGTGGAGAGAGCTTGAAAACGATTACTTACCTCTATAGCATTAGGGGATTCCCGTGCTGGCCTTTTTCCCCTTCTAGAAGTTACATGCTGCCAGTTCTCTTTCTGGTCCCGTACTGCCCTCTCTAGCTCTTCCACCTGCTTTGCTGGAAGGATTAAACTCTGCCTTCTATCGAGGAAGTCTTCATCATCCTCTCTGATTGAGCATAGGGTCGACTCTTGGGCCTCCAGTCCTCTAATTTTTTCTTCCAAAATGGCGACCGGCTTGCACTTACTACAGATGAAATCTGTTCTTTCTTCTGGGAGGAAGACAAACATGGCACATACTGTGCAGGTAACAACAGCAGACCTATCACCATCCATCGCTGCTGTCCTGGAGAAGGGATTTAAAAAGAAAGGCAAGAGAACCTCGCCCCCTTCCCAACTCCCTCTCTAAACACCTTGTTACCACTCACCTGTTCACAAGCTCCTTGGTCGCTTGCCCACTGCCTTATAAAGCCCTGCAGTGCCTGAAAGTCCTTCCCCCTACCAAGGCTCAGCCAATCAGCAGAGGCTTCTAGAATTCAAACTTTAATTAGAAGCCAACAGTTTCCACCTGCCAACTCGTTAACATGCAGCCTGGTGCAGCTGGAGCAAACCCCCCACGAACGCCACGATGTGGTGTGCCTGGTCCAGCCTGGTCAGAGCAGCCCTCTTTCTGCATGCAGTGTGGTGGGCCCAGACTGAGCATGTCCCTCCTGAACGGTTGTGCGGTGGGCCCGTCCGGTTCAGCCCCCCCTTCCTACACCATGGTGCAGCTGGCCTAGCCAGGCTGGAGCAGTCCCCTGCTATGGGATCCTGGTTAACCTGTTAAATAAATCAGTTAACTTTTTAAATGGGATTTTACATCCTTAATCTTCATATGGGCTGGCAAGATAGCTCCCGTCCCTGATTTATAGGAAGACCTTGTGACAACCAATGGGGAGGAAGTGGATGGCATCAGTCTTGATTGAGACTTGTTCCTGGTTTTAATATTTTGGCAAATTTGGGCAAAGTTTCAGACTCTTTACATATCCTGTTCCCCCACGTAGGTCATTTGCCACCAAGGTTCCAATTCCTTAAGGGCAATTTATTTTACAAGGCTTTAATTTTGTGTTACACTGACAGATTTTGTCTTTGATTAATGTTCAAAGTGCTCTGACTGGCTAATTTTTTCCAGCATGAAGAGCATTAGTCAGTGAATACCAGTGTGTTGTATGCCTTTCCTTGTGAGTGCATTATTAAATGTAATGGATATATAAACTGTTGAACAAACCTGGTGGCTGTAACTTTCAAAAAGTAGCAAACTTTCCCTCTTCTCTCCTGATTAATTTCTGTGTGGTTTTTTTTACATAATTCTCAGAAGTTGCAGACTCCACCATTACATGTAGCCTTGTGACCACTTTCCTCCAGACACTCCGTAGCGCTATGTTGGGGGCTGGAGGGAATACACCATCTGGATCTAAATGGATTGGTGCGGATTGGAGGCCTAGAACTGACAGTGGACAAATCTAATCCCGTTTTTGTTCAGCTGCTGAATTCTACTAGGCTGTCTCCATCTTCACTGAAATATAGTTGGCTGAGGTGTTGAAAATGGGTATTTCATGCCAGGTGGTCAGCCCACAATGAAAGCTTTCTGTATAGCTTTAAAAAGGGCTAACGAGCATGGTTAGTGACTACCACACCGCAGATTTTGGATGGTTTTGTTTCCTGCAGTAGTGTCACTTTGCCCAACTCTGGCAAGTTTGTAAACACACAGTATCCCCAAAACTAAACCAAGAAACTGCGTCTCCACCTCACCATTTCCCCCCCTTATTTACGCCATTGCATTCTGAAGTGCATGCATATGGACAAACCATTTGGGTGTTACTTTGCACATGAAATGTTGGCATGAATGCCACCATTTCTCTTTATGAAGAAACGATGTATGTAAACCAAAGTAATTTAAAACATGGGCTCGGTTCTGTAATCTGTATTCCTTTGGATCAGGCATTTAGAGAATGGGTTTTAATCCTGGTTTGCTGTTTGGATAAGATAACATTTGAAAGTAAATCTCAAGCTGATGGCTGTGTACATTGAAATAATACTGTTGCCTATAAATGTTTAATATTTTTGTTATATATTGGATTGTAAGATTTAATAAAATAGACTTTCTGGATTGTATCTTCCCAAAAGAACTGATAGATCTTGCACTATTTTATTTTTAGATATGTGTCTTTAGCAAGTTGCTGCAAAATTACTGACAATAATTGTCTCTTTCACTGCTGTTTCAAAAGATAATATGTCAGTGGCATAGTGAAAATAAATTCCAGACGCTTATCTAGGGGGGAAAAAACCACACCCCAGCTTTCAGTGCTGATGGTAAGCAGAAGTGTGGCTATGCAGCTACTGAAGCTTCTCCCTCAAGGGGTTATTTCTCCCTCACTGAAATGTTTGTGGTTTAATTTTTTTTTAAATAATTGCTTGTGAGTGTTCTCCCTTCTCCAGTTAGGATTCATAGCCCCTGGACAGATCAATTGCTGTATGTTAAATGTACTCATTCTACCAAGGGAAAAAGGGTGGAAGGGAATTTTTTTCCCCCAAATTAACAGCTAAGGAATCATTTTAAAGAAGAGGCCTGTCAGCCTGAAAATAGAATTCCTTGAGTGACAGCTGCATTTTGTTACTCAGCTGTGGACAATATTCATTGACCTACAAATTCTCCAGATTACCTTTTTGTTTTCTGGTTTTGTGCATGTGTGTGTGTTGGAGTACAGGAGTTGTTAATAAGAAGTAGTTGTAGAAGTTGCTAAAAGGAGTCTTCTACCACTCTCAGACCAAGTCTGGTCTGAAACTGAGTTAAGCCTATGTGGATAGAACCTGAAGAAGAGGCAGTGCAGGATGTAAATTGGGAATAGTGGAAATCAGGGAAGCAGAACGCTCACTTGATAAAACTTTCGCCAGTCCCAGGCATTAGTGCAATTCCTTAGCAGACTATGATTTAGAAGTGCAAATCATGGGTGCCTGTAGCTATGTTCAGGCAAATCAAATTTCACATTCCCCTCCTAAAAATCAGGATCTTTCTATCAAATTAATTTGCTGCTTGGTAAATTCAACTAGTTCCCAATTATGCAAAAATTACTGTAAAACCATAATAGTATAATCCCCCAATGTATAATTATAGTCCGTTTTGACAGTATTATTTGTGGTGTCTTGAATCTGTAACCGTGCATGTATTTACAGTAAATCTCTGCAATTAGACAGACTTCCAATTAATTCTTTTTAATGAAAATACTTGGTGTGTGTATATATACAAATTGACTGATTGCTTTTCTAAAGTCAGTAATTAGGTCTGCTATGGTAATTTTTACTTTAGCACATAACGCAGCTGGTCCATTCTTGTACACTAATAATTTACACATTTTAATTTTTAAAACTGAAGCCATTTTAAAGCTAACTTAAACCTGGTAATTTCTTAGCTTTTCTCTTGGCCAACATGAAATTAGTTTAAACAAATTCTGCTGAATAAAATTACCCTCTTTAAAATCTTGGATAACACTCAGTCTCAAGAGAATTTTAATGGCTGAATTACAAACCATCTAAAATAATGGCTTAATAGAAATGCTAACTACTATTAAAAATGGTAATATCACAGTATATGTATACATATTTGCAAAAATAAGCACGAATTTCCAAAGTATACCACCAAGCAGTTGATAATTACACTCCTCTTCATTAACAATATTATTTGTGTTTCTTCTCTAGTTTCTCTGCTTGAAGAATATAAGAACATTCCTTTCAGCATGCTGTGAGATATTTGGGATGAAGAAAAGTGAACTTTTTGAAGCATTTGATTTGTTTGACGTGCGGGATTTTGGAAAGGTAATTTAAAGTATCTTGTTTACTAATACCTTCTTTTCTCATTGGGTGATGTGGTTGTTGGATAATGCTTGCCATTGGTTTCATATAACAAGGTATTTAAAAATCCCCTTGAAGCAAGAGAAAGGTTTGATCTGGTTTTGTTCTTTTCACATGTGTGTTGCATTTTTGTTTTCTTTAAGTCATACTTGACAGAGGCTATCTGCAAGGGCAGAGAAGGACCATACAGTGGGTTGATGTCATGAGGAAAAATGTGCTTAGCTGGAGGAGCAGAGAGAGCAATGGTGTGTGATAGTGAGAGGAACCTAGGCTGACTGTAAAATCAAGTAAATCAAGCAGCTACTTGGCACTCCATATGTTTTGTGGGAGCCTCCTACCCCATCCAGGTTCTCAAGTTCACAGGGTGACTCCAGCTTCCTCTCCAGCAGTGGGACATAGAAAAGGGAGAACAGTCACACTCATACCCTTCATCCCCACCTCCTTATGGTGAAGGGAATGGGGTAGAAGACAGCTCAGGACTTGAATTCTGTTCCCCACGTCTAGTTGCTTGAGGCTGCTCTGTTGCATGTAGGCCTGCAGATTGTAAGGCTTCACAATGGTGTAGTGAAAAGAAGCAAAGGACAGTAAGAGTGGCTAAGCACGGTGAGGAAGAGGAAAGTGAGGTTTTGTATAAAAAACAGGTAGTAACAGTCATGGGATGAAGTGACAATGGGAAGTGGGATGTCCCTAACTCGCAGCAGCACAGTCTTTGCATTCATCGTTGAGTCTGGCAAAAGTGGATATAGCTTTAGTCCAGATACTCTGTCTCTCTTTTTTCCAATATTTTCAATCCAGACTATCAGACAGCAAGAACATGTTGTGGCAGGTAGATGGCTTGGTGTTCAGGACTACAGTAGTTGGAAATGAATCTATTATGTACAAGTATTGTGTCATAATGAATATCCCAATTGTAGGACAGTATAGTCTCTGAAGCCTGGGAAAAGGATATAATTGCCAAATGTGACCACAAATAGCAAGTTCTTTTTATTAAGAAATACAGACTGTGTATAGTGGAATTGTTTAAGCATATCCTTCTTTTGATGATTGCGTCTGAATGAACACTAAATGCGGGTCCATGCCAATGTTCTGAGGCAATGCAATGCCAAGACACGTCAGTTTGGTTATAACTAGCACTCCCACTAACTACTGCATCTTAGAATCATAGAATACTAGGACTGGAAGGGACCTCGAGAGGTCATCGAGTCCAGTCCCCTGCCCTCATGGCAGGACCAAATACTGTCTAGACCATCTCTGATCGACATTTATCTAACCTATTTTTAAATATCTCCAGAGATGGAGAGTCCACAACCTCCCTGGGCAATTTATTCCAGTGTTTGACTACCCTGACAGTTAAGAACTTTTTCCTACTGTCCAACCTAAACCTCTCTTGCTGCAATTTAAGCCCATTGCTGCTTGTTCTATCCTCAGAGGCCAAGATGAACAAGTTTTCTCCCTCCCCCTTTTGACACCCTTTTAGATACCCGAAAACGGCTATCATGTCCCTCCTCAGTCTTCTCTTTTCTAAACTAAACAAACCCAATTCTTTCAGTCTTTCTTCATAGGTCATGTTCTCTAGACCTTTAATCATTCTTGTTGCTTGTCTCTGGACCTTCTCCAATTTTTCCACATCCTTCTTGAAATGCGGTGCCCAGACGTAATACTCCAAATGAGGCCTAACCAATGCAGAGTAGAGCGGAAGAATGACTTCTCATGTCTTGCTTACAACACACCTGTAAATGCATCCCAGAATCATGTTTGCTTTTTTTGCAACAGCATCACACTGCTGACTCATATTCAGCTTGTGGTCCACTATAACCCCTAGATCCCTTTCTGCTGTACTCCTTCCTAGACAGTTGCTTCCCATTCTGTATGTGTGAAACTGATTGTTCCTTCCTAAGTGGAGCACTTTGCATTTGTCTCTATTAAACTTCATCCTGTTTACCTCAGACCATTTCTCCAATTTGTCCAGATCATTTTGAATTATGATCCTATCCTCCAGATTAGTTGCAACCCCGCCCAGCTTGGTATCATCTCCAAACTTAATAAGCGTACTTTCTATGCCAGTATCTAAATCGTTGATGAAGATATTGAACAGAGCCAGTCCCAAAACAGACCCCTGCGGAACCACAGTAGTTATATCTTTCCAGAAGGATTGCGAACCATTAATAACTACTCTCTGGCTACATCTACACTGGCATGATTTTCCGAAAATGCTTTTAACAGAAAAGTTTTCAGTTAAAAGCATTTTCGAAAAAGCACGTCTAGATTGGCAGGATGCTTTTCCGCAAAAGCACTTTTTGCGGAAAAGCGTCCGTGGCCAATCTAGACGCGGTTTTCCGCAAAAAAGCCCCAATCGCCATTTTCGCTATCGGGGCTTTTTTGCGGAAAACATTACTGTGCTGTTTACACTGGCCCTCTTTTGCAAATGATTTGCGCAAGAGGGCTTTTGCCCGAACGGGAGCAGCACAGTATTTCCACAAGAACACTAACGATCTTACATGAGATCGTCAGTGTTCTTGCGGAAATTCAAACGGCCAGTGTAGACATCTGGCAAGTTTTTCCACAAAATCAGATGATTTTGCGGAAAAACTTGCCAGTCTAGACACAGCCTCTGAATATGGTTATCCAGCCAGTTATGCATTTACCTTATAGTTATGCATTTACCTCTGGCACCTGACTCAGCATTGCCAGCTGGCCAGTGGGGTTAATGGTTGAGGTCCTTTTAATAGTAAGCCTAAAGGTTTAACTGTTTAACCTTTTACACCCCTAATTTGCAGAGAGACTATCTCTTGCACTAAAGAGACTTGCATCCTGTAAACAACAATAGCTGTTTGAGCACAAGTGGTGTTGCTAAACTGAACAAGTTGACGACACCACAATATTTGAAGGACCTTCATGCACTGGGCATCTTTTTAGCTTCACCATTTCATCTGTTTTCATTCCAGTGTGCAGTGAAAGCTTGTCACATGTGATTGGAGGTTGCTATGTGCTCTTTCTAGTGGTAGATAAATTGACTTTTGTTTAATTAGGCTCTTGAAATGCTTGGGGACATTGAAATGACACTATGTGTAATATTTTCCAAAGTTGTAAAATGTGTAGGAGAGTATACTCTAGTGTGATATTTGAGCTAATAAGTTTAACAGCATTTGCCCTATTGGTTTGGAAACCTCTCCTCCAGTTGCTAAAAGCAGCAGTGACGAGAAGGAAGCTTTTCTCTGCTTAGTTGGATTTTTCTGTGGTCAAACATATGTTCTTAAACTATTTTTTTCCGTATGAAAAATAAATGTTTGTATACATTCACAACCTTACAGTCTTTACTCCCACAAAACCCTTTTCTAAATCCAGTAGGAGTTAGGCATGTGGAAAGAGCTACAAGATCAGCACCAGTGGATTTTCCTGTTAGTTCTTCAACTAAAGAAAAAATATTATGTTTTCTTTGTTTTAAGAACCGTTTTCTGACTCCTTCTCCCAGCACAGGAGTTTTTGTGCACACACAGAGATGAAGCTGGTACTGGTGAGATCACTCTAGTTTAGAGAAGATTTTTAGTTTAAAGAGGATCTTTTGGACCACAGGAATTTTCCTGACTGCTGGTCAAATGAGTGATTAGGTGGATGTGTGTATATTTCTACTACTTCCAGAATATGCTGATTCACTAAAAGTTATAATATATATATTTGAGTTTGACGAAGCTGTAGTGTAACATTGACCAATGCTTATTGCTTTTGAAGGGCCAAATTCAGACATATAAGTGAGGGCAACTCCATAAGCCCTACAAGTCTTGATTTTCATGACCTCCACCTCAAAACCACATGTCACAGATGTGTTCAGTTTTTGTAGTTGGTATTGTAATAATATTTTTATAATTGTTGAATTTTTAAACTTATTGAAATAGAATAAATGTAGTCAGCTTTATACTATTGGTTTCATGGCTACCCATTTAAATAAAAAGACAAACACATCTTAAAGGGAGGAAAAAGGTTAAAAAGAAGAAAAACAAAAAAGGAAACCCGATGATTAAAGTTGAAATATTCGAGTTGTACAGTTATTTTATTAAGATACTATTTTAAAAAACAAGTGGTGGCATATGATTTTTCTCCCACAGAGAAAAAGTTTTGTAGTTTTGATCTTGTATTCTCTTCTGTGTTTCCTTCCCCTTTTTTAGACAGTGGCAGTCGCTGATGGTGGCTGCTAGCTGTAGTTGGATATTTGCTCCCTGGATATTTGTTTTAGCTAACAACTCCAGTAGCAGATGGAGTGCTGTCACGGACAGACTGCATCCAATCCTTTAGTATACCAGCCTATTTGTAAAAACTTCTGTTGCTTTTTAACCATGATAAACAGTTTTTATAGGCAGTTAGGTATAACAGTAAAACTAATGTAGGTAGCCACAAGTGAACTGGATTTTTTTTTTCATGGTAGGTTTGGAAATTTGACTTGGAAGCATGATGTTATCAAAATTATGTTCTGTTTAGCAGAAACTGTGCGTGCGTGTGTGTGTGTGAGAGAGAGAGAGAGATGGTGGAGGAGAGGAATGGAGATTAAAATTCCTAAGGAAAAAGTTAGTTGAGGATAAAGAAGAGTGAAAAACACATATCCTGTCCTTCATACTGGGATCAAGGTGAATGGAAAAGGAAAGTGTTCTTCTATTAACAATACATAGTACAGATTTCTCTTTATTTTTTTTTTTAAACTGAATCTTCCTTGAGAGGGGCAGGGTTTAAATTACAGGAAAAATAGAAGGTTCTTGAATTAGTTCAACAAAATCAGAAAAAAATAAGCCGAGACAGTTGCCAAGTCTCAAACTACATGAGATTCATCCACTTCTATTCACAACTGCCTATTCTTCTAGTAGATTTTGGTGCCGTTGTTTAGCTTGCTGATGTAGCATGAAAACCTCCGCCCCCACATACATTGGTGCCAGGCAGTGTTTTCATTAAAAATTCCATTTCAAAGACTCATTTTT